ACTAGGTTTCTAGACTATGCCTTACAAACCCTGCTATCTAACTAAGGGTAGTATTATTATCTTCTTTTATATTAATAATATTATCCTTGTAACCTGTTTTATCAGTGAGCGCCCCACCTCAGTGAGCGCCCCACGAACACCAGCAAAGCGCATGCGCGACACTCAACGCGTAATGTCTCAACAACCACAACCTCACAAGCCCTATACTGAAGCTGACGTGCAGCTTGCCCTCTCTAACATTAAATGCGACCAGATTACAAGCCTGCAACGTGCTGAGGCAGTCTACAGCGTTCCTTGTAGGACGATACAACAACAACGTGACAGGAAGCCCTCTAGACGCGACTGCGAGCCCAGATTAAAGCGCCTAACAAAGCTAGAAGAGGAGGTAATTCTGCAGCGTATACTTGACAAGAACCTACGTGGAGTACCGCCCTTAAAGCTACACGTACAAGATATGGCTGATAGACTGCTGCGCGACCGCGGTGGTGAGCCTGTTGGTAAATGCTGGGTTGACAGGTTTATTAAGCGTACACCTGAGCTGCGCACGCGCTGGACTCGTCTATACAATCACCAGCAAGCTCTCTGCGAAGACCCAGCAATTATCAAGCCCTAGTTCACGCTAGTTTAGAACATAAAGGCGAAGTATAGTATTATAGACAACAACATGTACAACTTTAACAAGTCTAGCTTCCTAATAGGCAAGATATCTTCATAACTTGTTGTGACAGGCATAGAGAAACCTAGGAAAGCAAAGAAGCTTTAGCCTAGTAATCGCAAGTAGACTACGTTAATACAGGGCGTCAGCGCAACAGGGCGTGTTATCCTACCCTTCCTTATCTTTGCTAGCAAGGTTCTTATCTCTAACTAGTTTACTAAGGACCTCCTACGCAATTAGGTTATTTAAGTAAGCCTAACAGGCTAGACGAACAACAATCTAGCGCTTGCCTGGCTTAATTACTTTAATACGCATGCGAGGCCTGTAGGAGCGTATAGGCTGCTAATTATTAACAGCCACAAGAGCTATTGCTTAATAGATTTCCAGGATCGCTGCAAGGAGAAGAAGATTATTGCCCTCTGTATGCCTCTACACTCGTCGCACCTCCTGCAGCCACTTGATGTCGCCTGTTTCTCGCTATTGAAGCGCGCGTATAGTGATCAGATCTCAGCCTTGGCACGCAATTGCATTAACCACATTAGCAAACAGACCTTCTTACTAGCCTTTAAAGTAGCTTTTAAGAAGGCGTTTACAAGAGAGAATGCTTGCGCAGGGTTTTAAGGCGCTGGATTGTCTCCACATGATCCACAGGCTGTGTTATCGAAGCTGGATGTGCAGCTGCGTACGCAAACTCCACCACAGCAAGTCGACGCCGCTTGGGAGGCGAAAACACCACGCAACGCTAAAGAAATAGAGGCGCAATCAACACTAGTTTAAAACAGGATAAAAATCCATCAAGGGTCTCTAGCAAGTTCACTTAATGAGCAGGTGCAGCAGCTGACAAAAGGCGCGCAGCAGATGGCTCATGAGATAGTGTTAATGCGCGCAGAGATAGTGCGCCTTAATACTGCTACTAAAGCAGCAACAAAGCGTAAAAGTCGCAAGAGACGCTACGTACAGGCAGAGGAGACATTGACAGTTGGCGAGGTATCAGACTTAATTGCTAAAAGGGAGGGTGGCAGATGTGAGGAGGGTAAGGAGCTGGCGAAGAGGGTGCGCGCAGGGCGACGCTGCGGCTGTTGCAGTGAGATTAGGCACAACTCTCGCACCTGCAAGGTAGAAATTAAGGATATAAATAACAGCGACGCTTCTAAATAATACTATACTGTTGCAAGAGTACAAAATTTGTGTTGTGGTGCTAAGCTACGTCGCTGCGCGTACGCCTCGCTGGTGTTCGTGGGGCGCTCACTGAGGTGGGGCGCTCACTGATAAAACAGGTTATATAATAAATTAAAAGAGTAAGAGGTAATATAGATAATTAGCTACGTATAGAGCAAGTACACCTGCATAGGAGGGCACAACCTATAGTAGTTCCTTAGTATAGAGATTATACAAGACTAAGTAAGCAAGAAAATCTACCTATCTTAGGCAGCGTACTTAGACAAAATTAGTTGCCTTGCTAAGAACACAACTATACAACATAACACTCTAATAGCAACAACTAAACTATAGCTAAGGAGTAGACTAGCAGTGCTAGCAGAAATTAACAAGTATCAACACAAAATTAGATCACTGCTGTTCGCTGTGGTCACCACGCGACCTGACATTGCGTTCGCCACATTAAGGCTTGCCAGGTTCCTCACCAATCCAGGCATTAGCCACTAAGATGCTGCGGACTGGGTCCTTCTATATCTACTTAACACTAAACAGCGATTACTGCAGCTTAGAGGAGGCATTAGCCTCTAGGTAGCAAGTAACGTGTCCTTTACTAACAACACTATAGACAGAAAGAGCTCCTAAGGCTACGCAATTAAACTCTTTAGTAGCCTTATTGCATAGAAAGTAAACAAGTAGGACATAGTAATAATATTAATAACTAAGGCTAAGCTTCTTACTCTTACCTAGGTTATATAAGAAGCACTCTTTATCTTAAGGCTCTTGCACAAACTACACATTAATATAGGTGCACACACTATTATAATATAATATAATAATAAATAAATAATTTAACTAGTTACTAAGGAAGTGTTGTAACTATATACTAAACTTTAGTATGTAGATATCTACAACTACTAGCTCTAATAGGAGGTAGCTGCTAGAAAGATTATTATAGAACATGTCTAGTCTGTAAGTATAATAGCAGATAGACTTACAAAGGTACTCCTAGTAAACAAGTAGGAAGGTTTCCTCTAGTAACTTAGTCTAGTAAATAGGGAGTTAATAGAAGTACTAAACAGTGTGCCTCTAGACAGGATTTAAGTATAAATTAAGAACCTTATATACACATAAACAGTTAGCTTAAAGAGTTTCTAAGCTAAAGGGGGTGTGTTAGATAAGAGCAAGTAGCAAGAGGTCAGATCTGCGCAATTAAGCAGGGACCTGTTGTGCAGCCAATCAGCAGTTGTCAGGTCGATTAAGCGAGACCTGGCAACTCCTGATTGGCCCGCACACCGGCGGCCGCGAACAGCGCTAATTCCCCCCCCACTTCAATCCTGTAGCAACCAGCACGACGCCACGGCAGACACCATCGCCACGATCATCAATAAATCATCATACCACCTAGATCTCGTTAAGCACATACTCTGGCTAACAGTACGAGCATCTGACATCTCTAGCCTAGAGTTTTAGGTGGTGCCCTTTGCGTATATAGGTTATTACCCTAGGGCGGACTAAGCCTAGTGTGTTAGGGGCATCCTAGGTGCTAATAGGTGCGAGGTGTCTATAGCCTAGGTAGGTAGAGGTTCTTGAGTTAGCACAGGTAAAGGGTTCTTAGACGTATACTACGTCTATGTCCTTCTAAAAGGCTACTTCTAGTATAGTAATGTGGCAGGGGGAGCTTCTGCTAACGTTGGCCTAGCATACGCAGAGTTGGTTTCTCTGCTTGCTAGGCTTTTGTTGCCTATTGTGGGCAGAGGTAGTGTGTTGGTGTCCTAGCATGTGGATAGTGGATCCTCGCTTATGCTGGTGTCCTCCCTCTCTAAGGTGGAGGTGTTAGTGTAGATAGTTAATTGTGGGCGCATACTGTTGGCAGACATGTCCCTCATATTTAGGTTTGCACGGCCTACAGCAGCCCGTCTTGGTCTCTTTTCCCTGCTAGTGGGTAAGGATGCTTGAGAGGCGCTGCTTATTTCAGTTGTCTTGCCCGTGGGGTACGTTACCTAGAGAACTAAATCCTTACTCTCTACATGCCACCTTACCTATTGCACATCCTCTAGCTACTTAACATAGTCTGTTTCTTGCTGTTAAAGCGTAAGTGCTCCTAACATATTTAAGACTTAGCACACTAACACGTCTTCTATATTAATAAGGAAGGCTTCCTACTAGCCTTTAGGGACACGTTCCTTAATATATTAATAAAGGTTAACTACTAAAAGGCCTTTAAGGTATTAGGGCTTATTCCTGCTAATATACAGGTAGTGTTAGATTACCTTAAAGTGCAGCTGCATACCCTACTAGCAGTACCTCTACCTAAAATACTATAGCAATCTAAGACACTAAGCAATACACATAAGTTTAGGTCTTAATCTAAGCTTATAAGTAACTCCTTCTAATAATTACTAAGTGTAGTGTAAGAGGGGTTCTTAAAGCTTATAAAAGGGGCTAAATAGATACTGCACAGAAATGTCCTTATTAAGGCCTGCATGCAAGAGCTTAAAGAGCAATTAGCAGTAATAACTAAGAGAAAATTGCGTAAGAGAAAGCAGATTCAGCATAGTGGCACACTTGAGTATGGCCTAGCAGCATCACAGGTAGCTGCTGAGGCGTGTGTAGCAGCTCAGCCATCTAAGAAGACTTAGGGTAGAGGTGGTTAACTAGGAGCTTAGTCAACTGTTTAGCGCTGTAGGAACTGTAGTAAGACTAGACACAATGCACAAACGTGCTAGGAGGGTGTAGAAACATTTTCTAAATCTAATACAAGCACACAGTATGCTAGGTCACTGTTTAATAGCAAGTAGTTGTAGTTGCAGTAACTTGTGTTAGTTGTGCTAAGAGAAAATGGCTGGTTTAGTGATATGGCCGGCTTGGTGATAATCTACGTTAGGCATAACGCGTGAACGTGTAAGAAAGAGGTAGAAGTAGTTTCTAAATAATATTACAGGCTGTACTGCAGTTTGCAGCGCTAATTTAGGTTGTTTTAGGCTATAATAGGGTGGAGTTTGGTGGGGGCTTGGCAAAAGTGATTCTCTCGCCTGTTGATTCTTTCGCCCGTGGGGTACGTTATATAAAGTTGTTAAGGTAGGAGGCCTGTGCTTCGCACGGGCAACTTCTCCGAAGTTTGTTGAAAACACATTTAGGGCCTGGGTAGGTATTACCAAAAAAGGATCTCCACCCTCCACACAAAGTCCTAAGTATGCCCCTGCTCCCCCAACCACTTGACGAGCACCTTGCCAAACACCTCGTGCACCCTACTCGTCAAATGTCCAGAGTTGTACCACAAATACGTATCCAATCCCTCTCCGCACCCGTACTTCGCCGGATTGCTGAGGATGTCCGGCTGATTGTATCCCGGGCAAAAGTTCGTCGTGTTGGTGAATCCGTAGCTCGCGGCGTTGTCGAAGATGCCGTTCAGCACCGTATTGACATCGAACTGCAGGACATTTGCATCCTCGTGTGCGGCCGCGAAGGATGACGCGTGCTCAGCCAGGATGGAGTTGTACGTGCTCACGAGTGTCTTATTGACGCTGGGGCTTGGACCGCGGTCAAGCGGCGGGAGGTTGAGGAGCAGGAGGTTCTTGTATCCGAGGGCGTAGATGTGCTCCCATAGTTGCTGTTGGGCGGTGATGACAGACTCGTACAGCGGCGCGAAGGTTGCGTTCTTGCCGCGCAGTTTGGCCAGGTCGTTGATGTCGTTGATGCCAATCCAGACTGCGGCCAGCGCTTCTTTCCTCTTCAACACGCGCTGCAGTGCCGGGTCGCCGTACATCTCAAACTGCTCAATTTGTCGCTCCAGGCTGACCGTGTGGTTCCAGTGCAGCGGTGTCAACGCGGTGTTTGTGTTGCTACCGGCGTAGGCGAAGTCCCAGAGCTGTTTGTTGCATGTCCGTGGATCTATGAGGCCGGGTTTGACGCCGCAGTCGGTGATCCACTCAGTCCAAACGGGGCCGCCGGACGCAGTCGCCGTCAGATTCTGCACGATGCGGTTCTCGAAGAGTTCGGCTGGCGTGAAAGAGATGTCGAAGTTGTCGCCAATGTAGGTGTAGTTAGGGTGGCCCTTGAGACCTTGCACAAAGGTGTACGAGTCGCCGAAGGCGATGAGGGATTTTATTTTTTTCCAGCTGAATTTGGCTTTCGCAGACGATGAAGTGGAAGTGGGTGCCGACAAGGCTGTCGCGGCCAGTGCGGCGCAGGCGAGGGATTCGAGCTTCATGGGCGACAATTGAGGCACGACATGCACTGATCGCGAACCATGGTGATGAGTTGCGAGATAATTATATTTATGTCGTCGATCGTGTCCGCGGATGCGAGATTGAGGTTGGCAGACGGAAGAATTGCGACCGAGGACCTGGCGCCGGGATATCTGCCCATGGCGATGTTAGCAGCCGTTGGACCGGCCTTGCGGGGTATCCCGGACGTTCCGATCGATTCGTGTTTAGCCACAGAATCCGGGGTAATTTGAGTTGCGCTCGCTAAACAAAGCACCCTCATGGAGAGCCGCTCGAGGCTTCGTGGGATCTATAGTATGCCAAGGAGAATGTTGTACAGTGTATACTGAACATTGAGCTTCTCAGAACCAGTCGCCCCAGTCTGAGTCGCCGCCTTCGCCGCCTCCGCCATCACCGCCCTGATCTCCTCCCCAGACGTCTTGCTCTTGGTTCTGGCCGCGTTGATCCGCCCAAGGATCACCGTTCTGTCCCCAGACATCATCCTCACCAGGCCCACCCTGCTGCTGATCCTCCGGGGGCTGATACGGGTCATTTGCTTGAGGTGCCATATCGTCAGCCTGTTGATCCCCTCGTCCCCTTTGCAGGGCTTCGTATCCAGCCATGGTTGCAGCGCCAGTCGCGGCGCCTTCAGCAGCACCTAAACCGCGAACACCGGCTGCAGCTTCACCCAAGACGCCGGACTCGCCTGCTGCTCCCATTGTAGTGCCTACACCAGCCACTCCTGCGGCGCCGGCCTCACCAGCTGCGGCTCTGCCCGCAACAGCACCACCGGCTTCTCCAGCGCCGCCGAACCAGGGCATCCATATGGGCCACATCATACCGCCCGAGCCGCTGTGCCGACTGAAGTAGTCGAAGTCGATGCTGACGGCTGTTGCAAGCATGACGGCGCGCTGATCGAGCGTCATACCTGGCCCAGGATCTCCCTGTCCTGTCTGGCTCACCATGTGACTTGGTTCTTGTGAGAGCGCCGCGGCGTCCATGCGCAGTGCGTAAACACCGGTATCCGTGAAGATCTCACGCGCAAAGCCACCAAAGTTGCGGTTCACAGACCCGAGCAGCCGGTCATCCTGAGACATCAAGCTGAAGTCCCAGGACAGGAAGCGTTCATCGACGCGTGCGAATTGCAGCATGCCGACTTTTCTGTTATCGCCCTCTGCTACCGTCGTTTCTTTGCTGTCTGATAACGGGAGGCTCCCGGGCGCGATCTGAGGCGTATTGGACGAGGCTGCTGCGAGGTCACGGGCGAGAAACATGTTATACTTCCTCCGCAGCGGCGCCCAATCTTGTTCCGTCGCGCCAATGATGCGCATATCGCTAAGATCCAAGTTGGACACATTCGCGCTCGTCTGTTTCACAATGCTGGCCGTACTCGTGCCTTGCAGCTGCGTCGAGCTTGTGCATGCACCGCCATCGCCGACAGCATCGTAAACGCTTATCTGCGAGTTGATCCAGCTGAATGGCCTGTGGAAGCGCAGCACCTCCTTTTCGTCGCGGTCGAAAACGTGTGTTGTGAAGCTGCGGTGCGTCTTGAACATCTGTCGCGCCATCGCACTGCCAATGCCGTGGTCGCGCTCGGCAAGATAGCCAATGTGGTTCCCGTGGGGGTCCATGATAACGTAGCGATTCGCCTGCTCGAAGCCCATCAGCACGTTCATCATCTCGAGCTGGCGCTGAATAACGATGGCCGAGTTGTCGAGGATGCGCATCGCGGGATGTGACTGTTTGAGGACGGCGTGGGGGTCTTCGAGCAAGTGGACGGGCGTGACGAGCGGATTTTGCGAGTCGGGCGTCGTTGCGAGCGCGTTAGACACTGCCTCGACCCTCGAAGGTCCGTTCGCAGAGGCACTGGATGCATCCTGCGACGGCTGGTTACTCTGGGTGGCAGACTGCCCCGAAGACCTCGCAGCTCGCTCCTCGTTTCGTTGTGGCGGTGTGCGTCGGGGAAGCCGACCGCGGGGCCCGGGTGGTGGAGGTGTGCCACGGGTTGCGAATGCGCGAAACTGTTCACGTGGGAGCCGCAGAGACCATCTGGCTGCTGTTGGAAGCATCGCAGGTGCTGGCCTCCTCTTCACCGTCCGTATCTTTTGCTCTTTATCGCCGTGAGATGCTTCTTAGTTCCAGAGATTGTCAGTATGTGACAGTGATTGCTGCCTGCGATGGCGTGGCGAGGAGGCTTGATCAACTTCCACGTGCTTCTAAGAGCCCGTAGCCGAGCTGTGTGACATTACGTCACAACGTCCTTACCTCTTTGCCGTTCTCGCTGTGGGAGACTGACAGGCTCTTATTGTACACCGAGCAGAGGATGACATTGAGCTGTCCTGCCCGCGGTGATACACGAATGCTGGGGTCGGGAGACGCAGATTCCAGCCAATCAGCAGATGGGCGCGGGCCGACCACCTCCGAAATCAAAAGCTTCCCGCCTCGTGAAATTTCCGCAGCCTGCACACGCCTCGCAACAATGCCAGTTCATCGCCGGCGCGAGGCTTCAAGAACCGTAAGTCACTCTGCTTTTCCAATCTTCCCCTTCTATGATGACATCTTCAAATCATATCAGCGGTACAGCGTGAACATTCACTTGCTAGCGCGCGTGCTCTATGCTGTCTTCCGTTACAAAATAGACTACAACGGTATCTGATCTACCAACACTCGCACTTGCTTGTCTCAAGGATATCTGGACCAGTTTCTGACTTCAAGCAGATCTCCCAAGCTACATACTCGAGTCAACATGGCGACAGAGACTGTGGCTTTACAGCCAGCTTCAACTCAAGCTGAGCCGCCCAAAGTTCATGTTGCAGCGCCTGACGGCCGAAAGAGTGCAAATAGCGGTCCTAGGAAGCCTCGCCCAAAGCGACCAAACTACAATGAAATCCACGTCAAGCCACTTCCGCTTGATGTTCACCCACTGCCAGCCTTCATCCCACATAACCCACTGTCTCTCGTGAGAATCGCCATTGCTCTTCTGTCACATTCCTTTCGCTCGCCCAGCTCGCGCAAGGTCGTCCACCAAGCCTACTTCTCTGAAGACACACAGTCCATCCATGTTACAGATGCTGAGTCGATTCGCGCACTTTGGGAACAAGGGTTCTGGGGTAAGGGATCGCTCAGTCGCAGTGAGCCTCAGTGGCTGCTAGCTGAGAGGCGAAGGCGAGGCATCGAAGCCCAGACAGCAAGCACACAGGTTACGCAGGCGCGAAGAGAAGAGCGCAGACAGTTTAAACTTGAGCGTGCAAAGGCACAGCGAGATGCAATCGAGCAGCAGCTGCGTCAGGAGGGCAAGCTCGACGCTGACGGCACTGTGAGCGATCTGGTTGAGAACGGTATTGTGTCCGAGTCGCCAAAGGGGACAATGTACGCACCCGAGGCTGGCGATACTATAGGGCCCGTTGGTGATAGCATCGTCGCAGAGGTCGGCAAGAGGATTGCAGATGGAACATCGACATGGGGAGAAGATGGGTCTGCCATTACGCAAGCAGAAGAGATCAAGGACATCGAGCACCTACAGCTCACCCCTGAGGAAGCCTTCTACCTCACCTACGTCCTGGGCGCTCTCAACATCGTGGACGGAAACTACCTTGGCGGCATCACAGCGACGTCTGCGCTGCCCGCCTGGTACCTGCTACGACTGTACAGCGCTTATGCGCTGTCTCCTACCGACGACGCTGCCATCATGGGCTTGAAGAAGCTTTTCCAGTACCGCGAGCGCCTCGCCCAAAAGACTGCCGCCCTACCGAGCGCACAGCAGATCGCACCCGATAATTCCTTCCTCCTCAAGTACGTTGTCTACCACCACTTTCGATCCCTTGGCTGGGTAGTCCGACCCGGCATCAAGTTCGCCGTCGACTACCTACTCTACCTCCGCGGACCTGCCTTCCACCACGCCGAGTTCGGTATTCAGATCGTCCCTTCATACTCGCACCCCTACTGGTCGGAGACACCCGAGCGGATCGCGCACCGCAAAGAGGAGGAGAACAAGGACTGGTGGTGGTTTCACAGGGTGAACCGTGTGCAGACTGCGGTCATGAAGACATTGGTGCTGGTGTACGTCGAGGTGCCGCCACCGTGGGACGGAGAGACAGAGCAGAACGCACTGGCCGTTGATATCGGCCAGGTGCTGAAGAGTTACACCGTGAGGGAAGTTGTGTTCAGGAGGTGGAGTCCTAGCCGCAACCGCGATTAGACATGAACGAGACATGGCATTCACTGCGTCTGTATACTCCTGCGACCTGGTATACTTCATTGGTGGCGAAGTGCTGGCGTAATATCTATTTCCTGATTTCAATCAGCACGGTAGCTAAGTCTGTCGCGGCAAATTTGCTATCCACTCTCAAATGAAGTCTGAGTCGACCTTGAATCTACGGCACGCCTATGACCAGCTCGTTAATGACGATCCGCTTGCGCTGTCTGGAATCCTGGATGACAGATCGGGCCAAGCAAGGCAAGATGGTTGATAGATTGGCTTACGCTTTAGCCTCGACCGCTCTCCGAAAGAGCTGTCATCGCATGTATCAATGTATTTTGTACACCATCTTTGAAATGCTCTCCTCTGGTTCTTGGCGCCATTAAGAGGCACGTTCTCGCGACCGCCTGGCTTACGATCTGTTTCTCACCCAGGCTTACTGCAAGAACGTTCACTAATCTTCAAGAAAATAACCTACTACTGGCAAGTACGATCTCATCGTAGTCAGATGCAGTGTAGCTGGGCTCGTCGTAGCAGTGCGATCTTTGGAGCATGCGACCGATGCGCTACGTGACTTTGGCCGAGATAGCGCTCGCAACGACCATGGCGAGGTCCATCAGGATTGTGTTGGTACTAGCATGCGTCGCTCTTAAGCCCTTGCGACCTGGATCCAGATTGCAAAGTAGTACACGATGGCCATCACGGAGCCGTAGTTCAGGAATGTGAAGATTACGATACCCGCTACGCTTTTGTTGAGCAGGACGCGGGGCGGCACCATGGCGGTTTCAGGCGTCAAGGAAAGAGCAAGACGCCGAACGTGACGAGCAGCCCAACAATGGTAGATAAGGATCAGTAGTACGTAATTTCGCCCCATTGCAGGGCGAAGACAATGCTGATGAACCTCGGGAGTAGGAAGAAGATGCCGACGGGGTTCAGGCGCTGGATCTGTTGCATAACGGAGAGCGTATCGCATCTCGCAAGGTTTATGTGGAAGAAGAAGAAGATGGTCGCCATCGTTACAGCACCGATGGGAATGTTCATATAGCAACACCAGCGCCAGGTGCTGGCGCGCCGCCAACGATCGGCCCCAGCACAGCAAAAACCCCAAAGCTCATGCCAAATACCGCCATGTACATCGGCACCTAACTCAATGGCACAAGTTCAACAATGACCATCATGCCGTTCTGGAAGACTCCCGCCGATCCAATGCCGACAACGGCGCGACCCACAATGAACGCCACAGACGACGGAGCGGTGCCGCACACAGCGTTGCCAATCTCGAAGATCAGATGGAAGTCAGGGACACCATTTTCGTGCTGTACAGTTGGTAGATACGGCCGAAGATAGGGTTGAAACAGGCACCGGTGAGCAGGTAGGCGGAGTCGTACCAGCTGATGTCAGTAATGGAGGTGAAGCTGTATGTAAGCGCGGGGAAAGTGACGGCATTGATTGTGCGGCCCTAGGTGGGTGTTCGTGTTGTGATTTTTGGCAGGATAATTTGCTTAAAATGGTCGATATTAGACGGACATTTGAAAAGTGCTTGTTCAGTTGTGTGATGGATGGACTCTAGGATCGAACGAGCGAGATTGTGGACGTAGCAGTGCGACCAGAAGGACAGACACATACGTCCCATGGTGAAAAACTCGATGGATTTGGGGTTGAACTTGGTAACGCCATTATTATTGTAATCGACTTGGTTGTCTGATCGAATAGGATTCCCTTCGATAAATTGCGCGGCAAATAGAGTGAATCAGTGGTAACGTACTCTATCACCGAGCTGGTCATATCACCAAACTGGTCAAAATCTGCCAAGACCAACACAACTCCGCACTTCACAGTATGTCTCAACAACATCACGACCTATTGCTTCAACACAAAGGGAGACTATAGCTTGCTCTCCAGGCCTATAATACTAGACAGTTTTAGAGCCATTAGGCTGCTGCTGCTGCATTCAACGTTAACCAACGCAGGCTCTCTAAACGCGCTAGCAATACTCCATTTTAACTCAACGTATGCGCAAACTGCCAGAAGCTTACTGCAACTAAAGAGCAGACAATTGTCTAATATATCCTTAACCTTAATTTGCAAGGATTTGCGCCTTAGCTGTGTAAGGTGGCAGATATAGCTAATAAACTATTAGGTGTGCGTAGTAGGGAGCCTGTTAGTAAACTCTAGGCTATAAGATTTATAACACGTTTAGATTAGCTTAAGATAGTGTTTAACTAAGCAAAGGACAGACAGAGGATACTATAGGAAGATCCTAAGGTAATTAACGCGTAGTTTATGCTAGTAGAGGGTACTAAGGCTAAGTATAGCATCTACAATAATAACGTGCACAACTTTAATAAGACTAGGTTCTAGATAGGCGTGATAGGGTTAATAAAGGTTGTCACAGGCGCTAAGAGACGCGCTTGACCTAAGCTTGTTTAGCTAGGCAATTAGGAGTAGGTTACAGTTATACAGAGCATCTGCGATGCTGGATATACAACCCTGCCTTTTATTATCTACAAAGGACGCATCTATATCTCTGCCTAGTACAAGGAGATAGATATACTACATAATTAGAAGCTCTCTGTCTCTAAGAATAGCTAGATAAATAACATGCTTAGCCTTAAGTAGTTAAAGCATTTTAACGCGCATACAAGAGCGCGTTAGGTAGGGGGATACAGGCTACTTATCTTAGACAGCCATAAGAGCTACCTTAACTAGGATTTTAAGGACTATTGCCTAGATAACAAGATCCTTACTCTCTGTATGCTAGCTTACTTGTCACACATCCTCTAGCTGCTTGACGTGGTCTGTTTCTTGCTGTTGAAGCGCAAGTACTCCCAAGTTCCTAACGCGTCTGGGACTTGGCACGCTGACACGTCTTCCACATCAACAAGGAAGGCTTCCTTCTAGCCTTTAGAGACGCGTTTCTTGACGTGTTTACAACGGCCAACTGTCAGAAGGCCTTTGAGGCATCAGGGCTAGTCCCTACCAACGCGCTCACCGAACACCAATCTTTTGATTTTTGGGCTTCCTTCACAGAGGCCCCAAAAATACCAGCAACTGACCCAGCACGCTGCGGCCACTCTGGGAGTACCTCTAGTGTCTGTCTAGGTCCCCTGCGCGACGCGCAAGGGAGCTTAGTAGGATGGCAGAGCCTCCTCCTTCCCATCACACGGGGTCCCCAGACCCTGAGTCCCCTCAACATCTCAATTCCCGCGCCCCAAGACGGCTTCAGAGGGACGTGCACCATCAAGCACCCCCGCTGAGCAGCCAGAACCCCGGTGGGGGCGCTCCCAAACCCAGAGTTTACGATGCCGTCCAACGCTACATCACTGAGACTCAGCAAATTGTCCAGCTTTGGAACACTATCACCACGGCCTTCGCCGCAGCTGTGGATCAACACGCAGAGGGCTACACTAACCCTCAGGAAGCCAGGATCGCCGCAGAGCTGCAGCAGAAAGTCATCCAGGCTCTAACCTCCATCTCCCCAAGCAACTCCCCCCCAAGCTCCCGCTGGAGCAGTGACACCAATCACAGCAACCTTAGGAGCCAAGAATCAGGACGCCGCTCTTGGGCGGACGTAGCCAGAGACCCCCAAATCTCAGCGCCAAAGAATAGGGGCAGCGGCAGGCCCCTGTTCCCTGCTAGGTCCCAGCCTGGACCACT